AATATACATTCCTGACTCCAGTGTAGGTATATTTGTTTTCTTTTCATTTTTAACTTTTGAGACAGTCTGAAAAGTAGCCCTGGCTGCCCTGAAACTCTCTGGTCTTGAGCTTACAGAGATATGCCTTGCTCTGCCTCTTATGTGGTATTCAAAGATGTGCTCCACTGTACCCCAAAGTATATTTTAAGTTTTGGTGGTTTTTGCCAACTTGCTTTTCAGGGATATAATACCTATTTAAAATTTTCTGTTCTGTTCCTGGCAGTGGGTGGGGGAGTCCCTTTCTGTTTCATCCACATTTTTTTCTGCAGGTTGCACATCATAGGTTTTTTTTTTTTTAATCTTTGCCAATCAGATAGTTTTAAAAAGTTATCATGTTATTTAAAAGTTGCATTTTCTTTATGGGTAACTCTGAATATCTTCTTATCCACATGCATTTCCTTTTTGGTGGTCTATCTCTCTGTCTTTCTATGTATCTATGTACATTCCAATCATCCTTTGCTCATTTTCCTTGGGCTGTTAGTCTTTTTTTTTTTTATCAATTTGTTGTAACTATTTGCATTTTGAGGAATTTAAAACTGTTTATAGATTGAGGAAATTAGTGCTTTTCTATGACAAGACCTAATGTTTTTCATTTTTATATTTTGTTCTTTGACTTTTTATTCTGTGCAGCATACATTTTCTTTTTCATTTTAAGCATACATTTTATTATTTATTTTGTATGTGTTCATGTAGCATATGTATATGTTTACATGTGTGGGGAAGGTCCATGGATGCCAGAAAGAGATATTGGATCCCTTTCAAGTATGGGTGAGATATGGGTGTTGGGATCCAAATTCCAGTTTTCTGATAGATCAGAAAATGATCTGAACCACTGAGTTATCTCCAGACCTCTGGCATAGATTGCTTCAATCCTCTGGATTTTGACTTTTTCTTTTCTTTCTTTCCTTTTTTTAATGGGGTTTCTTGTAGCCCAGACTGATCTCACACTAGCCATGTAGATGAGGATGGCCTTGGACTTCTAGACTTCCAGTTTCTGGGATTATATCTTATACAGTGCTGGGGAGGAACCCAGGGCTTTGTGTATGCTAGACAAGTACTCTATAAACTGAGCTAGATCCCCAGCCTTTTATCATATTTTAGAAGACATATTTACTTATTTTTAGACTTGCCCATTTGTGAGTTTTGTTATAAATTAGTGTTGGGTATTCTGTTTAAATAAGTTAAAAAGTTTGGCTGGGAAGAAATATTTTGGGTTTGTATTTGTGGTATTTGAACTCTTTGCACCTGGACTTTTCCTGTTCGTTTCTCTTCTGCAGTGACAGTAAAGTACAACAACTGCTTTACAGCAGGTGGTTAACGGGAGGTCTTGATACCTGAGATGTAGTTAGGATAGTTCTAACTTAGACAACTCATGGTGACTACAGAAGACTAGGTCAGGGCTGGGCAAGTTGCTGGAAAGCAGGTTCTAGGGTAGCAAAGATCACTTGGTGAAACCTTCACAGCAAGCAGCAGTTAGCTGATTTCAGCATTTGGAAAGGTCCAGCTAAGCTTATGGGTGTCATCAAGGTCTTGAGTTGCCACTTTCTTCCTAGGCAGCTATCGATAGATTACTTCCTTGATGTTCTGAGTTTGTCAAGTGTTCAAGTGGTTCCTAACCTTGGCACTAAAATAGAAGCTGTTGGAATGTGGGTTCTGGCTGGATTGTCTAAGATGAGACCCCAGCCACAACATTTAGAACTCAGTCTGGGGTGGAGTCTCATGTAGCTAGGGTTGAGCATTAATTCAATGAGTTTGCAATCCACTGTCCCAGTGCCTCCAGATATGTACCCATTCACCCTGGGGAACCTTGATTATACAGCTTCAGGGGCCTGATGCTGAGCTGCAGACTCTACATGTCCTGTGCTCAGGTGAGCTGCAGACTCTACATGTCCCGTGCTCAGGTGATGGTAATGCTGCTGGTCCCCAGAACACTCATGGGTGGCTTGAGCTTGTCAGTCACGAGTGTAAACACTAGCCTATGCCTGAGAAGTCTTGTTTTCTGGCTGATTTTGCTTTGTGAACTTAAAAAAAAAAAAGAAAAGAAAAAGAAATAGCTCAAGTCCAGTGACCCAATTTCCAGTTTTAGCTCTGCCCTTAATTAATTGAAAAACAGGTTTCTTAAAAGTGCTTTATTCCTTCATCCTCTCGTCTCTAAAAGAGGTTTCAACCGGCTGAGATGTGTAGTTTCCTTATTCTCTTATGCTCTCTTGATCCAGGATTTTTTTTTCAGGCTACGTAGATGGGGATTTTTCTGTGGAAAGGTAGTCTGGATTCTACAGTTAGAACACTGGCTTCCCTGAGAAACTGGTTCTGAGTTCATTGTAATTTACTGGAAGAAATAAAACTAGCAGATGTTTGACAATAGTTGATATAATACTTCAAATTAAGTTGTAAACCATGGTAAATATACGAAGTAGGTGGGGAAGAGTAGTGTCTGCAACAGAAAATGTCACTTCAAAGGGGGAGATTTGAGTCAGGCATTGTATATTGCTCTAGATAGACTGCACAGCTTCAGGGCCCTAATTCTCAGGCATTTACATTGGCCTGTCTTTATAGGGCATTCTTCAACAGTTGTTGGCATCACCCCCAGGGTCTACTTAATTATATAATGGCTGCTGGATGGCTACTGTTTGGATTTATTACCCCCCCGCAAGAGTTCCCTTATCCCAATGATTTAGAAGAAAATTGACTACTATTCCAAAAGCAGAGTAGTAAAGATGACCTAGTCATTCCATGCATCTGCTATTTGAGCAAATATTAAATTTGGTAGCTTACCTAAACTTATGTTGTTCAAATAAGGTGATTCTGATGGTATAGGTTGGATGACATATAGATGGAATTTAAAACAATTCCAACAGTTATTCTAATGTTTAATATTAATCATATAACTAAAAGTAATAATTTTAGATATTTGGTAGTTGAGTTTCCAGTCAGGTATGATATTCAGCATACTTAGTAACCTACGACATGGCATTAGCTAACCAGAATAAATTGGGTCCAGCCATTCAGAGTTGAATCATAAGCAGCAGGCTTCCAAGTGAGTGCTGGCAGGCTCTCAGCTCAGCGTACTCTAAGATATGTTTAAGGTGCCACCAAATCTATCTTTCTGTAATGTTTTTAAAACTTTAAGTTTATTTTGGGGTACTAGGGATCGCACATAGGCCTGTGTGTGCTAGACAAATGGTTTAACACTGTGCTATATCCCTGCTTCATAAGTCTCTTTAAAATTATGGTGATTGCATTTTCCCCCTAGAAGTACCACAATAAAGTACTCGACAACAGATGAAACTGGGAGAGAACCATGCACTTGCTCCCTGTTCTGACAGTTAGGGACTGGAAATCAAGGTGTTTGGTACTGCTGCCTCTACAGGTGTTACAAAGAGTAACCTATCACCTCTATGGCTTTTGCAGTTAATGGCAGTCCTTGACATTCCTTGGCTTGTAGTTGCACCACTCTATGCTCCATTTTTGTGTGGCTTTTTCAGAACTACGTATGTCTGTTTCTGTCTCCAAATGTCCGTCTTCTTTTCTTTTTCTTTTCCCCTTCCTTCCTTTTTTTTTTTTTTGAGACAAGGTTTACCTTTGTAGCCCTGGCTGTCCAGGAACTGGCTCTGTAGACCAGGCTGGCTTCAAACTCCAGAGATCCACCTGCCACTGCCTCCACCTGGTAATGTCCCTCTTCTTACAAAAAAAAAAAAATCGCCAACTGTTTCTTCCTTAATTATTATTACTTAGATTCTGTTGACATGTGACTGCTGCTGACACTATGGTAGGATTAATATTTCTTAGCATGCAAACATGTCTGTGCATGGAGATATTATATTCTTCCATATAAGTTTATGGAATTCAAGCAAGTTTTGCCTTAAAATGGAACTGATTATAGTTAGATGAACCCTATACATGGGGCTGTATGTAACAGCAAGCACAAGAAAGCAGGAAAGAAAACAATTAGTGGGCCAGGAGAGATGGCTCAGTGGTTATGAGTACTTGCTGCTCAATCATGGGGACTGGGGATGGATCTCAACCTACATCAGGCAGCTCACAAACATGAGTAACTCCAGCTCCAAAGAACCCAGATGGCTGCTCTGGCCTCCATGGCTCTGTGTGTGTGTGTGTGTGTCTGTGTGTGTCTGTGTGTGTCTGTGTGTGTGTGTGTGTGTGTGTGTGTGTCTGTGTGTGTGTCTGTGTGTGTGTCTGTGTGTGTGTGTGTCTGTGAGTCTCTATGTGTGTTTATTCCCAGTCTTGCACACACAGAAATAAAATGCTCTCAAAAGAAGAAACAAACCAATGGGGGTGGGGGTTGAGAGATATCTTGTATCCATATGTGAAAGAGATGTGGTTGTTTTCAGCTCTCTGAAGAGCAGTTCTGTGGAAAAGGACTTTGACTCCTGAAGACAGAACTAGAACCACTGAGTGAAGGGGAACAGTGCAGTGTAAGACAAAAACTTTCTCAAGTTCTAGTGCACAGAATGTTGGGAACCGCCATAAGGAAGTGGAAAATGAAGGTTCCTCAGAGAGCTGGAGCAGGTACTGTACTATTACCTCTCTATGACATCTCTTCCATTGAAGAGACAACAGAAGGCCCTGCTTGATTCCAGCCTTGTGGCCGAACCCTAAGATCTCCCAGTGAACTTTCTTCTTCATGACAAGGTGCTTCTTTGTGTGAGGTTAAGTGATTTTTCTCAGAGTTCACCATCCTGAAGCTTTGCTGTCTGACCTTGGTGTTGTGAGCTCATAGAAGGAAAGAAAATAAGAGAAGCATTAATGAACAGGAAGCCAGGGAATCAAGCTTTGCATTTATCATGTGATACATAGTGTACACTTCTTGTCCATGTCATCTCATTTAATGTAGCTACTTTCTCCTTGCATGGCTTAGAACTTAAGTAAAATGGTAGTTCTCCAAGTGATGAAATCTTAAATTAATTGGCATTTTTAATGTATTCTTTGTTGTTGGAACACAGGACTGTTCTGATGGCTACATGTGCAAAACACAGTTTCAAATAAAAAATGGGACAACAACCTCACATAGGGGAACACCTGCCAGTGTACACACATGTCTTCCAACAGAGGTAAGTAGTTTAGTGTGCCATGGTCTCCTTTCGAGTCTTCATGAAATATCAATTAAAAACTTTCCGTCTGTTTTATGTATATTAAAAAAATGAATAACCCTTGGATCCCAGGACTATTGGTGGTAGAGGTGAGAACTTCTTTCCTGAGGGGTTATTTTCTTTATAGCAATGAAAACAGGAATTGTGGTACCCACCGTGAGTCCTTTCAGTTCTTGTGACCCATCATACTTTTCCTTGGTCCCGAAGACACACAATACCCTCTCTTGTCTTGATTTTTACCTGATGATAGTGCAGCCTGTACAGACCTGTCTCTGAGTCTGTCCAGTAGACCTTTGATGATTTTTCTTGCCATTTGGAACTTTGTAGAACCTGGGGTTCATTCTTTAGGATATTTTGATTGACTTCAGAAATTTACAAAATTAAATGTTATTAAAGTGCTAAGTTCTTTCTGGATATATTCAGTTTCCTTTTTAAACAAAATGCAAACCAACTTAATATGTTACTTTCTTTCTCTGCCTCCTGAGTGGTGGAATTAAAGGTGTGAGCCACTACCACCTGGCAATAGGTTTCTTATCCCTAAGAAAAGTTGTAGATGTCTGTTCTGAAAAATGAACAATAGGGAAATATATAAAAGTGAAAGAATTCTCTATATACATTTAGGTAGTTAACTCCTATGAATATTTTGGAAAATACTATCTATTTTCCTTAGGTTTCTCCTATACATGTGTTTGCTACCAAGGAAGAATATCATGGGCATCTCCATGTCAGTAAATGCAGGATCCATTGTTCTCTTTGGTGGCTGCATGGCATTCCATTTGATAGCTACACCATAATTATATACTCTTACTTCGGAAAGTACTGAATTTTAACACATGAACTTGTATTCACTGTTTTTGAAGCCAGACTGCTTCTGTAGACTATAAACCCATCTGTATAGAGTTACATGATCAATGTGTATAATCTAACTAGACTTTTGACTCTGGATCCCACTGAGAATCAATTTACTTCTATATGTTGATATAAGCTGGGCAATCAGATGGGTAACTTTGAATTGACTGAATTCTAAAAGGGTTTTACTTTGGATAGAATAGTGATTTTTTTTCTGATAACCAGTTTACATAGGAAAGTTATAAATGTCTGAAAAGAGAAACTTTAGTAAGGTTTAGTGGTGATTGTTTGTAGGAGTTGGAGTGGAGTCTTGTGCTTAGTCTGTTGCTTGCCAGTCAATGCTGGTGTTTTGTTTTCAGTTGTTTGATAACTCATAGCAAATTATATTGCCTAAAGTGGATCATAAGTAGAAGAAAGCACTTGTATTTAGAAGTTGTCTTTTCTAATTTTTTTCTAGCAGTGTGACCTTGTGTAAACTATTTTCTTATCTAAAGTATTTGTTCTTTTTTGGATACAATACACAAAAGTGCTATTAGTAATCCTAACAAAATGTCCCCTCAGGGCTGGAGAGATGGCTCAGCCATTAAAGGCTAGGCTCACAACAAAATATCTCCTTGCCATGAAATAAAGAACAGTAAGTGAGTGGGGAAACAAAAAGGTGATCATGGAACACATCCTTTCTATGCTGTCATGCTTTCAAAGGTTGGAAAGAGCCTCCTGGTCTGAAGACACCATTTCTTCAGCCGCAGTTAGCCACCAGCACCTCACAGAGTTGTTGAGAGACAACTGAAAATGACTCTAATCAGGAAGTCACAGTATCTAGGTCATCTCAAGGGCTATAAGAACTGTTCAGTCACTGTCACACTTCCCTTGATAAGTACTGGACTGCATTGTATTCTTTTGTATAACTTTTTTCTTTCTTCATTAAGATTCATGCACAATTCCTATTTATTCAGTGGTATGATTATGGGTATGATGATGTACAATTTTCTATTTTTCATTTTTAGATATCTCAGAATTAATATTTTATCTTAATAGCATGCTTACATTTGTGACAGAGTAGAAAATATTATGACAATTTAAATATATACTTAGGATGGATTGTAATTAGATGGAAAATATATTGTTTCTCCTAAAATGCAGTGGACTGTTCATATTTAACAATTTTTGAGTTTCAGTATTTAAACAAATTTCATGATGAGGATTGATTATACTCATGATAGAAGAACTCAGGGGGTTGTATATTAGTTTGTGAAAATTACCAAATTTAGCTATAACTATACTTTCAGATCTGTCAGTCATTAAAATTATGATGATTAATGATTTTTAAACAACTGTATAAAACAACATTTCAACCATCAGCCATCAAAGGATGCCTACAGTCTGTGCGGAGGGGGAGAGCCCAGAGGCATGGTTGGAGGCATTAGAAAACACAGACTTAGGCAAAATACACTCTGTTAACCCTAAAACCATGACATTCAAATGGCTAAAATAATTGTACTTTTTGCTGTTATTAGCAAATTGTGCCTGTAGATAGTTGAACAACAATGCCAAAAGAATGTAGTTATATGAATGAGTGGATTTCAAGACAGAAGGGTTTCTGTGGTGTTAGTACTTTTATGTCTTTAGCCTCAATCATTATTTCTATTAGTGACTTTAACAAATTTGATTTAAAGAAACATTTATGTCAGTATTAATGTCTATGTATTAAGATTTTAATACTCATGAAGAAATACTTGCAGTGATCATTTATTGGTTTTTCTATTATGTTCCAATTTCCTGCATTAGTTATGTATTATCTTATAATCTTCACAAAACCTCTGTAACAGAAGATAGTAATGGCAGATTTACATGATGTTAGCCAAGTGGATGAAAACTCAGTGATGTACATAAGGAAGACAGGAATTCAAACTGATGGCCCTGCTCTGAGTAATTTTCGTACATGACTTCATTTTATCTTATGATCCAGACACCTTTATTCCCATCATTGTACACATAAGGAGACAGAAACACAGTGGTTAAGAAGCTTTCTTGGGGACAAAGGAAAGGCCGTGATTGCAGTTTGACTTGAGAACTCATGCTCTTAGTACTGGAAAAGTAGAGGATACTGTTTTAGTAGACAGCAGCATCACCTGGGGGCTTGTTAAAACAATTGTCTAACAATTTGTTCGAATTAATTGAAAGCACACTCCTACAATTTTTGATTTAGTATGTCTGATGTGGTGTCTGAGAATTTGCAGTGTCTTAGGATGTGTTTGCCAGAATCAGAACTTAAGATAAAGATTTCTCTTGTCTTAAGAGGAGTAGGGAAAGCAGGGCAGCAGAGCAAGGAAAAGGCCATGGAAGACAAACTAGAGACAAACTTTATCTGATCTCAGCTCTTCATTTCTTTTTTTCCTATTTTTTATTTAAATTAGAAACAAGCTTGTTTTACATGTCATCCCAATTCCCTCTCCCTCCCTTCCTCCCCTGTTCCACCCTCCCCCACTAATTCCCTATCCCATCCCCTTCCCAGGGAGGGTGAGGCCTTCCATGGGGGACCTTTAGAGTCTGTCAGACCATTTGGAGCAGGGCCTAGGTCCTCCCCCATGTGTCTAGGCTGAGAGAGTATTCCTCTATGTGGAGAGGGCTCCCAAAGGCAATTCATATACTATGGATAAATACTGATCTACTACCAGAGGCCTCATAGATTTCTGAGGCCTCCTCACTGACACCCACATTCAGGGGGTCTGGATCAGTCCTATGCTGGTGTCCCAGCTATTGTTCTTGGGTCCTTGAGCTCCCTTTTGTTCAGGTCAGCTGTTTCTGTGGGTTTCACCAGCCTAGTCTTGACCCCTTTGCTCATCACTCCTCCCTCTCTGCAAGTGGATTCCAGAGTTCAGTTCAGTGTTGAGGTGTGGGTGTTTGCTTCTGCTTCCATCGGCTACTGGATGAAGGCTCTAGGATGGCATATAAGGTAGTCATCAATCTCATTATCAGGGAAGGGCATTTAAGGAAGCCTCTCCATTATTGCTTAGATTGTTAGTTGGGGTCATCTTTGTAGATCTCTGTACATTTCCCTAGTGCCAGTTTACTCTTTAAACCTATAATGGCTCCCTCTCTGATGGTATCTCTCATCTTGCTCTCCTCTATTCTTCCGAAACTCAACCTTCCTGTTCCCTCATGTCCTCCTTCCTCATCCTCTTCTCCCTTCCTTTCTCCTAGCTCCCTGTCCCCTCCCCCTAAGTTCCCAGTTTGCTCAGGAGATCTTGTCCCTTTCCTTTTCTCTGGGGGACCATGTATGTCTCTCTTAGGGTCCTCCTTGTTTTCTAGCTTCTTTGGCGGTGTGGATTGTAGGCTGGTAATCCTTTCCTGTGTGTCTAATATCCATATATGAGTGAGTACATACCATGTTTGTCTTTTTGTGAGTGGGTTAACCTCACTCAGGATGGTTTCTTCTAGTCCCATCCATTTGCCTGCGAATTTCAAGATTCCATTGTTTTTTTTTTCCACTGTCAGCTCTTCATTTCAATTCATATAAGAGAATTAGTTCCACCATGTGTCACTGGACTGGCCTTTTGTACTCTCCTAAGCATTGGCAAGTCATTCATTAGCCAAATCCTCAGGTTGGTAGCTCTAGTTTACTGAGTAGTTGTCCAGAGAAGGAGTCCACTATGAGTTATCAGCCAACAGTCACAGCCTCTGAGTAGAGACAGGTGAACCAGCCTGAAAGAAGACCTAGGCAGGGCATCAACAACATCCCTATTAAGGAGTCACTTGAAGCCAACCAAATGGAATATAGGGGGAAATGGTTTGCCCGCCACACCTGTGAATTCCACATTGGAGAAACATAAATATTGGAAAAAGAAAACTGCATCTCTATTGAATATGTGCAGACTTTTGTTGCCATTCCCGAAATAATCAGTATATAAACAATATGTATAGCATTTGTGTTATATTTGATGTTATAAACAATATAGAGATGACTTTAAAAGTATGCAAGGATATGAAGCAGATTTTGTCATCCATCTATGGATCCCTAGGGTTACTGATCTATGTGTAAGACTTGTATTTACGTGAAAAGGGGAGGTTTTCTGAGAGTTGCAGTTTTAGCTGTCTTCAAGCTCAAAACA